GAGTTGGAGGCAGTATACTTCTGAGTTGCTGGGAATTCTAGGAGGGAAGGGTGCTACTGTGCTGAGAATTTGCTTCTGGGCTTTTCACTGTGAGACCAGGTGTGATGATCCAGCAGGCTATTCTGATGTTCTTATGCAATGTCATTCACAGATCATGTTATGAAAGTCAGAAAAGCAGCCTCTTTGCTTTGATTGTGAAGTTTCATAGAAAGAATACCAAAATAAAACACATCGGCCAAGCCTAAGAAATAACAAGCAAAAAGTATGTGTAGTTCAACAGCTTTGAGGTCTGAGGTATCAGCTCTCAGCCTAGCCTTCCTCGAAGGGCTGTTGTGAGGGAGGAGGAGACATCAACAAGCAACAAATATCTGCAGTTCCCAACTCTTGCAGCAAAACATATTTATACACACAAAACGTTTTGCTAAACTTGGTAAACAAGAACAAGAACAAAATTCATGTGCTGAAGTACAATCAAAAGGAGTGTTAATTTGCTGCAGCTGAAAGGTGTTTTAATTATTTCATGGTTGCATTTGATGAGCATTTGCTCACTTTTTATTTTGGTTGATTTGGATTATTCTAGTTAAATGCTCAGTTTTGTGGAAGGCAGAATAGAGAGAGAAACGAGCGCAGCCATTGAAGGACTGTGCCCTGGATCCCCACGTCGGCAAGGCGGTGGTCCAGGAGTTCGTGATCGACCATGTCGAAGGCTGCTGACAGGTCTAGAAGAATCAGCAGCCCCGACCCGCTTCGATCCAGCTGCCTGCGGAGATCATCTGTTAGGGCGACCAGAGCCGTCTCGGTCCCATGACCAGCGCGGAAGCCGGACTGGAATGGATCCAGAGCCGATGTTTCATCCAGAAACCTACCAAGCTGTTCAGCAACCGCTCTCTCAATCACCTTACCCAGGAATGGAAGATTCGAAACCGGGCGGTAATTGGATAGATCTAAGGGATCTAATGATGTTTTCTTTAAAAGTGGGCGCACCACTGCCTCCTTCAGTTCCCCTGGGAATATCCCGGTGCCAAGGGACAAATTGATGATATCCCCCAGGGGGGCCCGCACCTCATCTGGACACGCTCTAATCAGCCAGGACGGGCACGGGTCGAGAGGACAAGTGGTGGGCTTTCCAGCTCGGAGGAGTCTGTCCACATCGGCTGGGGATATCCGGTCAAAGTGGTCCAATACTGGACCCGAGGACAGTCGAGGGGCCTCCAGTTCCTTTATTGTATCCAAATTGGCAAGGAGGTCATGGCGGAGCAACAGGACCTTCTCCGCAAAAAAGCTCGCATATGCCTCACAGCTGTGTGTCAAATTGTTATTTAAATTTGGCTGTCCATTGAGGGACATTAAAGACCGAATTATACTAAATAATTGCGCCAGGCGAGAGCTAGCGGATGCAATGGAGGCCGAGAAGTAGGACTTCTTAGCGGCCTTCACTGCCATCTCGTAGGTTTTCATAAAAGCCCTATAAGATGTTCTTGAGGCTCCATCACGGGCACCCCGCCATACTCGCTCTAGCTGTCTGAGGTCCCGCTTCATTTTCCGGAGCTCCTTGGTAAACCAGGGAGTCTGGTTTCTGCGGGGTCGCAGAGGGCGCTTAGGTGCGATCTCATTGATGGCTGCCAGGAGCTGGGTATTCCAGCCCTCAACAAGCTCAGTCAATGAGTCGCCAGGGGGAGCAAGGTCCCGCAAGGCTTGACGGAATCTATCTGGAAGGTCATTAAATCCTAATAACTTTTGTGGACTTGCTTGCAATGCAAGGAGGAGGAGGAAACCAGTCACAATAGTTGAAGGGTCAGTAGGGACAAATGACCAGAAACTGTTCATTGATACAGTTTGGGGATAAGAAGCAGGCTTCTAAACCATTTGAAGAGTTTAGAACTGTTGAAGCAACTAATGTAACTGATTTTAAAATATAGTTGAATAAATCTACAAATAACATTTTTGCTATGTAATATATTAGGATACTTAAGGCATTTTAGCCTCACTCTTTATCCAAAACGGTTCCCAGAGCACTTTACAGATTGATAAAACACTAGTGAGATCCTGTCCTCAGCTTCAAAGGTATGACACAACACCAAAAAAGCTTGGAGAGGAATAAAGCAAACAATCACTCATTCTTAAGGGTTTTTAAAAAAAATCCAAATGAAGATGTAGGCCCCCAATGTGAATTGGGAGATGATAAATTAACCCTTTCTTTTAGCACCTATTTGAAATATTTCTCCTCAAGCTGTTATTTGCCCCGTGGAGCAAAACATACAGATACAATAAGTGCTATAAACCTAAATGGACAATAACCTGTGAACTTTACAGAGAAAAGTGTGCTTAAGCTGTACAAAAGGAAAAAGATACACATCACCATAGTGCTGATAGTCTCCACGTTTTTCTTCATTCTGTATGGCTTCCTGCTGACGGCAAGCAAGTGTCATATAAAGCTCACTTGCCAAGAGTTAGACACCATAATGGGGTGAAGTATGAAACAAGGGTTTGGTGGTGGTACAAACTCTCGAAAGGTCACAAGCCATTTTCTGTTTAGAAAAAGAAAAGAACATTCACCTAGAACCAGGTTGTACATAAGCAGTAGACTGTGGCCTGAGAAGCTATGCATTTATTTCTGATTTCCTAGTCTTTTAACAGCATAATTGGTAAAAATCTTCACGGAAACTCTGCTTCTAGGAGCTGTCCTATGATTGAGTCGCTCTGTGAGTCGAGGTTTCAGAATATAAAATGACTTCTTTCTAGTGTCAATAGTCAATGTCAAATGTGCACAATGTAGCCAAACTGTCTCATCCGTAGAAAGATGAAGCTCCAGTTCTTCTCTTTAAAACAGAATTCTGGAACTTGATCCTGCAAGATGCTAAGCCCTCTGATTCGGAAAGGTATTTAGGGTTATCCGTAAGTGTGAGCACATGAGAATTCATATGGCTGTCACTGATGCTGTTGAGAAGCTTTACACTTCCTTGAGAACTCTGGGATCAAAGAAGGGGGCCCAGCAGCTTGCATTATCAATCCCTTTTCAGTACACTAATTTTCAATTATCCTCATTCAGAAATTAGAAAGCTCTACACACTTTGAATTGTAGGATTTTTTAAAAAAGTATTTTACTTCTGTTCATACTTACAAAACTTTGGATAATATCCCCACCCCCCCACCCCCGGTGATTAAGCCTGCAGTCATACATATTTACCTGAGCAGAATGAGTTTTCTTCTCTCTTCTCAGTAGACATGTACAGGATTGCACTGTTAATTATAGTTCCAACTGAAAGCAACCGCTGATATAATTCAGAGGAGAAAAACAGCTTATTATTTCCCTCGATTTTATTACTATATGTGGATTTCTCAAACAGCTTTTGTTAGATCAGCTTCTTGCACGTGAGCCAAATTTTCAGTGAGAAATGTATCTTAACAGTTCTTTGCTGAAGTTGCAAACAAGAACTGCTCCCATAAAACTGCTTTACAGCTCAAGCATGCACCATGTCATTCATTGTTGAGTTCCTTCCCCACCCCCCTGCATAGGCTGTGTTGCATTCTCAGTTTAGCTTTCCGTGCTGCCCCAAATGGAAAACTTGCTATCACAAGTGATCTCCTTCTGACACTCACAAAAGACATATTTGATTTCCCCCCCAACAATACCTAGCTATCTTTACTTACATTTCCATAGCTAAATCTAAGCTGTGACTTTTTTTTTTATCAAGTCTTGAAAACTGAGCAGAAAAGTCTTGCTTTTGCATTCCAGTTTGAGGAAGCTAGAGACCCAAACTATCTAGCTGAAAAGCATCAGATATACTTTTGTCATCACAAGCAAGTATGCTGCACAGGTTGTGGCTATGCACATGTACTGTGCCCTAGGGAATGAGGGTTCAGACTAAAGTTACGGAAAGTGTGTGTTTTGTAGTTGAAACCGAGTCATGATGAAAACAAAATGCCCTGTTCTCATCTGTTCTGTACGTTCTTCTAAACGTGAGACACTCACAGTGCAATTCAAAGCATGTCTACTTATGAGTTCATTAGTGCTTACTACCCGGTAAATAGATATAGGATTTCGGCTTTCGTGTCAATCATTCAGACATTAATGCAATTCTATTCTTACATGCTCACTTTAGAAATATAAATGTGCAACTATTCAAGTATTCTGAAAGGGTTTTGGAAAACATATTTACAGCACCAATAATAATCTACTGTAACTTTTACCATGTGTTGCCTATATACTCTTAAAAACATATTATACAACCCACATCTTACTCCATACTAAGGGCAGGGGGTGGAATTAGATTCAGTTTGCATGCAAAGCAGAATTTATCAAATCTGTACTTTCCAAAACAATATAAGAACTGAAGCTGAACCATCCTTCAAAATTTGCACTTCTCTGAATTTTGCAGTGCAGTTCTACAGGGTTTTCAAAAATGTATATTTCAGAGGGAAATGTGCATGAAATGAATGTATTGTATGAGTAAAAATAACATACAACAATGCATTGTATTTGGAAGTGTTACCTGTGAAAGATTAATACATTAGTCAGAGCTACACAGAAAAAAATCTCACTAAAATGTTGAATTTTTTTCATGGGGATTAGAAAGACAACTTTAGATTGCTGAAGAAACATGGAAAACCAAGTTTAAGATTAGAAGAAATGATAAACGGAGGGACCCAAAATTGAGAGATCCTTCAAGCCCTATCCCAGACACAGTTATGTATATAGAAGGACTTGCCATCGGGCTCAGTGGAGCCTTTTTCCTTCCTTCCCTTTCCAGAGATTGTGAGTGTGTGTGTATGTATGTGTATTCATGCTAGTCCCTGTAACTAAGCAGAGGGCAGCACACCCCTCCCACGTGCACTTTCAGCCATTCCTCTCCGATGCCCTCACGTTCCAGTCTCCAACAGATTTTTTTGGAAATTGATCTGGACCATGAATTTTGATTCTGAGGATGCTGCATTCTTATTTTTATTCTGTCTTTTGTGTTTTTTATATTGTAGTTTTATGTTGTGAACCGCCCTATGGATTAAGGGCAATATATAAATTGAATAAATAACAACCTGTGCAGTTGTGAAATCATAGAATGCAGAGACATGCCTTGCATATCTCTTGAATTAATGTACAAATTTAAAAGACGCCTGCTTCTTGGGAGAAAAGCAATGACAAACCTAGACAGCATCTTAAAAAGCAGAGACATCACCTTGCCAACAAAGGTCTGTATAGTTAAAGCTATGGTTTTCCCAGTAGTGATGTATGGAAGTGAGAGCTGGACCATAAAGAAGGCTGATTGCCAAAGAATTGATGCTTTTGAATTATGGTGCTGGAGGAGACTCTTGAGAGTCCCATGGACTGCAAGAAGATCAAACCTCTCCATTCTGAAGGAAATCAGCCCTGAGTGCTCACTGGAAGGACAAATCCTGAAGCTGAGACTCCAATACTTTGGCCACCTCATGAGAAGAGAAGACTCCCTGAAAAAGACCCTGATGTTGGGAAAGACGGAGGGCACAAGGAGAAGGGGACGGCAGAGGACGAGATGGTTGGACAGTGTTTTTGAAGCTACCAGCATGAGTTTGACCAAACTGCGGGAGGCCTGGCATGCTCTGGTCCATGGGGTCACGAAGAGTCGGACATGACTAAACAACAACAAAGGCCTAAGAGTAAAAAGAAGAAAGTGTTACAAATTCTAACATAATAATGCTATATGGCCTGAAGTTTCAAGACAAAACAATGATTTGAAGGGCAGTCAGTTGAAGAGAATTCTGCTGTGATAGATGTAGTCAAAGTAAAACAGATACAATGATAGAAAGAGATCTTTGATTACAATATCCTCTTCTCTACTCTGTTTTTTCCTTTGTTGGCAACATCCAGGGCTGATCCAAGACATCTTCCTGCCTGAGGCAGAAGAGCAAATGGGACTTCCCTCACCAAGTCAAAATGCATAGTACTCAAGGCTGGCAAAGTTATTTTGCTGCCAGAGGCAGATATTCCTACAGGTGCCTCTCATTTGGAGTAAAAACATTATTATTATTATTAGTAGTAGTAGTAGTAGTAGTAGTCGTAGTAGTAACAACAACAACAACAACAACATTTCCCCACTCTTTGATGTCACCCAAAATCAACTGCCTGAGGCTGCTGCTTCACTCTGCCTAATAGTAGGGCCAGCCCTGGGGGCAGCTGTGTCTGTCTTCAGCTTTCCTATATATTTTCTTGCAGAACTGACACTGGAAACCAAACAACGGCCATGTTCTGAAGAATACTACTGCTTGGTGATTGTAGGAAAGCAAACTCACCTTGCATAAGAGAAAACTTGTCAGGTTTCCATAGATTCAACCCATAATGTCAGATCTGCCTCAAGCCAAAATAGGATGGGATTATAGGGAGCAACATGACCTGAAAAATGAAAAGAAAGCAGAGGCTAGACAATGCAAGGCGAAGCACAAACAAAGCTTATTTGAGAGCTAGACTGAAAGCATTCTTTGACAGAAGAATCTGAATCCATTTGTTGTTTAGACTGGAGAAATAGTCTGATTCACTTGTCACATTGCCTTCTCTGGTTGATTGGGTATTTTCAAGGCACTGGTTGAGCTTTTTGCAATTCCTTCCTTTGACCAGATCTTAATGGTAGCATTTAGGTTGAGTCTTTGGCCAAAATCTCTAGGGCCTGCAGCCTGAGTGGTCCAAATAGTCGTGGTCAAACCCTGAAAGGCACAAAACCCAATGATAAACAAATTGATACATCACATGACAAACCTAGACAGCATCTTAAAAAGCAGAGACATCACCTTGCCAACAAAGGTCTGTATAGTTAAAGCTATGGTTTTCCCAGTAGTGATGTATGGAAGTGAGAGCTGGACCATAAAGAAGGCTGATCGCCGAAGAATTGATGCTTTTGAATTATGGTGCTGGAGGAGACTCTGGAGAGACCCATGGACTGCAAGAAGATCAAACCTCTCCATTCTTAAGGAAATCAGCCCTGGGCGCTCACTGGAAGGGCAGATCGTGAAGCTGAGGCTCCAATACTTTGGCCACCTCATGAGAAGAGAAGACTCCCTGGAAAAGACCCTGATGTTGGGAAAGATGGAGGGCACAAGGAGAAGGGGACGACAGAGGATGAGATGGTTGGACAGTGTTCTCAAAGCTACCAGCATGAGTTTGACCAAACTGTGGGAGGCAGTGGAAGACAGGAGTGCCTGGCATGCTCTGGTCCATGGGGTCACGAAGAGTCAGACATGACTAAATGACTAAACAACAACAACATCATCACCATCACTGTATACAGAGCTAGCAAAAGAGTGGGAGTACATAGCTCTTTTGAGAAATAAGCCATTTCTGGATGAATGATTAAGTAAAAGAAAGAAAGAAAGAAAGAAAGAAAGAAAGAAAGAAAGAAAGAAAGAAAGAAAGAAAGAACAAGTTCATTATGAAACATAGCTTTGATTTTTTTACATACATGCTTATAGGTCAGCTGAAATGTGCAGGTTACTGACCAGCAACGTTGCCAAGTCACTAGTGTTCAACCAGCTCCAAATTACTTGGGGAAATTGCCAAGTATAATTGCCTATTCTTCCACTGCAAGCCTCTCTCCATGCCATGAGAGGTGCCAGGAAGTATATGTTTCCTGCCACAGTGTTGTACTCTGAGTACAGATCGTGTATGAAATCAAAACGTCCCAATCTTTGTGTTTCATTTTCCAGCTTTCCTCTTTGCATTTCTTTATGTATGTAGTCATTGTAAATAAATGTATGCAGCTGCTACCTTATATCTGTTCTGCCTTACTTAATCGCCTTAGAATAAATATTATGAAGGGTGCTACAGAAATAGCTTAAATAAATAAAATCTGTTCTCATGGTGCAAAAAGCAAATAAACAAAAACTCTGCTTCACACATCAAAGTGAGCAGTATTTTTTCTTCAAGATACTATTTCTGTGCAAAAACAAGGCTATAACACCACAATCCTACGTTAAGTCTACTGAGAAGTAGCACCCATTAAATTCAATGTGATTTACTCCAATGCAAGTGTTCACAGGATCGAAGCCTAAGCTGTACAAAGCAGAGCATAGTCTGCTGACTGGGAACTGGCAGATGCTTTCCATTTCAACTAGGGCCAGGGCCTTTTCAGTACTGGCCCCGACTTGGTGGAACGCTCTGTCACAAGAGACTAGGGTCCTGCAGGACTTGACATCTTTCCGCAGGGCCTTCAAGACAGAGCTGTTCTGCCTGGCCTTTGGTTTGGACTCAGTCTGACCCTTATGGTTTTGATTTATGGGCTACTACTAAAATGAGGCTGCATTTTAAATTGTATTTTAACCCGTATTTTAATTAACTGTTCCCCCCCCCATTATGTTTTCTTGTAATTTTGTTGGTGTTAGACGCCCTGAGCCTGGTTCTGGCTAGGGAGGGCGGGGTATAAATAAAAAAATATTATTATTATTATTATCTGCAAGGAAGCCACTGACACCATGAAATGGTGGCCATAGTTTGAGCTGATTCAGTGAAGTATTGCTGCAGATCTTTTTTCCTAAAATATACCTCTTATTTTATCCTCAAGTGACTAACAATGAAATCTGTAATCGAATATAAATAAATATAGTGCAATATGTTTGCAACTATAGCTGGCAGGACCTAGGTATGGGGTTGTGGAGACACTTTCCCTAAATAAGGGAACATCTCGTTGACATGATGAAAACATTGGTTGTGTTTGTGCATTGTTTAAGCCAACCTTCAACTCTCTCTTTCTAGAGATTTGCAGGAGCCAGGCAAAATCAGTGTTAGAACAGAGTAAGCAGCATTCTGGAGCTGCCAACCCAGGGGCACTCTAGAAAAGAGAAAGTGAGAGAAAGCATGCTTGTACAGGAAGCTCTAGAACTTGGCGCTTGGGACAGATATATGCGTGGTGGACTCTATCAAGACTTTCAGGACTCATAATTATTTAGTTAGTGCTTGCATATTAAAGGTGGGGGTGCAGGGATTGCCTGGGGCTCCTCTAGGTTTTTGTGAGCCTTGGTCCAGGGAAGCAGAGTACTTGTTCAGGTGCATCGCTGCTGCATACCAAGATGGGGTGGGGGCAGTGTGGAGCACCAGCAGGAGCACTGGGTTGGCTCCGCTGGCTTGTTTGCACAACGCTGACCTCACCCCTACCCCTTTCTGCCCTAGTACACAGCAGTGGCACAAACGGAAGGAGTCACTTAAGTGGTTCAGCTCCACCATGCCATTCACTGCTGTGTATTTTCCCCATGCTATAAATCATATCCCCCTTCCTATAGCAACTCATTTCTGATTCAAGGATTTCCCCTGTGTTAGTGGCATAGTACTGTATTCTTAATTGTAATTATGATCTATTTTGAAAAGTGTTACATTTATGCTTTTGACAAGGATGGGAGTGTTGAACACAGATATTATTATTTTTTGCCCTGGTATGTTTCACAATAATATTTGCTATATTTATCTTTAAGAAGGATGGTGCATCCACCAGGATCACATGAGTTAGAGATTTGTTTTCCTTACGTTGAAAGGTACCACCACAATTCATATATATTGACTCTTCAGGGCGGCAATACGTGTTGTCCTTAGGTAATGTAAAGTTTCTAAGTATAACCATAAGTGGTAAAACTGAATTTTGTTACTGCTCACAATTACAGTGTCTTCATGGCTCTGAACAAAACCAAAATACAAGGGTCCATCAGTGATCTGGAGAAAAAGAGATTGATGTACAGTAATACCCCAGCCCTGAAGGCAAATTCCTTTTCACCCCATCTGCTGTCTCAAATGCCAAGCCCTAGAAATGTCAAATGTTCCAAAGTAACAAACATGGTTAATGTGTGTCATTGGTACAGATTTCTCACAGAAAAAAGACTGCTCCCCCCACTACTTTTTTTGGCTTGCATCGAATGCTGGAGTTGAGAAGCCAAAACTGAAATAGGAAATGTGTTGCTTTATCCTGAATTGAGGCCATGTAATATGTATTTTATGGTCATTTCATGTTATCTATTTATCTTTTCATCACAGTTGCTAGGGATGGGTGATCTCCCCACTACAAATTGGGCTCAGTAAACTGAGCTATTTTACATACCACAAGAGATCCCCCCCCCCGAAGGAGAAGCATATTTCTCTGTTGCAGCAAAAACGACAGAATCTTGTGGCAACTTAAAGACTAACCAATTTATCACGACATACATGTTTGTGGACTAAATTCCATTTCATCAGATGCATGGAGTGTTATCTTGAGTTACAGGTGTACACAGGGGTTGGGGCAGGAGGGAATTACAAGCAGTGAGATTGGAGGGAAAGAACAGAAAAGTAATGGCAATGATAATCTCATAATTAACAGCGGTAATTCAAAAAAACAGTCGTTAATGACACAGACAGCCTGGCATTGGTAAGCCAATTTTAGCACATTATATAACAGTGTCTTTGATGCTCTATGGAGTACTTTGAGTTCTTGTGTTATTTACTTCTATATCCAGTGGTGCAATGGATTTATTCCTTATTTTTGTTTTTGTTTCCTCATTAGCTTTTGCTAATGCCTGTTAGTTCACCACACTTGCTGGCTCCATTACCCAGTGGCTTTTGCCACTTCTTCCTTTGTTTCTCTCCTCTTTCCCTTCATTTTTCTCATTTATTGTGCAAGGACACAAAATGTATTTTAGTAGTGTACCCTTGTACAGGTGTTAACTGCAGAATGTTTAAATTTCAAAAGAATTAGATATCAGATTGGAGACCAACATAATTCTGAGAATGGTTTTTAAAAATCCAGTATTGTTTTGAACCTTGAACTGAACAGCTGGATTTATCCCAGACCTACAGTAGGCTAGGCTGAAAATTAAGGTGGCCTGTATATTAGAAAGGGGCTCCCACTTGAAAGACTTAAAATACCAGTCTGTAATTATAATATAATATAATATAATATAATATAATATAATAATATAAAATAAGTGTATCCTTTTCCAACTGTGTTTTCTAAGTCAGCTGTGAAGGACTGGAAGCACACTAGTCAAAATATTAAAAAAATAAAAAAAGGCCAATAGCACCTTAGAGACCAACTAAGTTTGTTCTTGGTATAAGCTTTCGTGTGCATGCACACTTCTTCAGATACACTGAGGGTCACCAGACCCTTATATATAGTGTGAGGGTGGGGTGGGGGTTTTCTCAGGAGGGTCTTCTTTGGCGATCACTCGTAGCCGAGTAAGATTGTCTTCCATAAACACGGTTTTAACAGTGAGTCCGTAAGTGACTGAGGAGGCCAATTCTGGATCCACACGTCCTTCCACAGTGGGGACTGGTTTCCAGGCGGGAATTGATCACAGTGTGGATTTGCCAAGCGTGCCTTCCTCTTAGCACGTTTCTCCCTTGCATCCTGAGTTCGAGTGTTTTCAAAGCCCATGACACCTTTGGTAAAGGCTGTTCTCCAACTGGAGCGCTCGCAGGCCAGTGTTTCCCAGTTGTCAGTGTTGATACTACATTTTTAAAGATTTGCCTTGAGACAGTCTTTAAACCTCTTTTGTTGACCATCATCATTACACTTTCCATTTTTAAGTTCGGAATAGAGTAGTTGCTTTGGAAGACAATCATCAGGCATCCGCAGAACATGACCAGTCCAAATAAGTTGATGTTGAAGAATCATTGCTTCAACACTGGTGATCTTTGCTTCTTCCAGTACACTGATATTAGTTCACCTGTCTTCCCAAGTGATGTGTAAAAATTTTTGGAGACACCGTTGATGGAATGTTTCAAGGAGCTGGAGATGGCATTTATAAGTGGTCCATGTTTCACAAGCATATCGTAAGGTTGGCAGTACAATAGCTTTATAAACAAGCATTTTGGTTTCCCTGTGAATGTCCCGGTCCTCAAACACTCTGCACTTCAATCGGGAGAAAGCCGCACTCACAGAGCTCAGGTGATGCTGGATTTTGGCATCAATGTTGGCCCTTGTGGAAAGATAACTTCCTAGGTAGAAGTGATCAACATTTTCCAACGTTACACCATTGAGTTGGATTTGTGGCGCTGCAGAGGGGTTATTTTGTACTTGTTGGTGCAGCACTTTGGTTTTTTGGATGTTGAGTGATAGGCCAAGCTTTTTGTAAGCTTCTGCAAAGATCTTTAGGATGGTTTGGAGGTCATCCTCTTAGCGTGCACACACTACGTTGTCATCAGCATACTGAAGCTTTGTGAAAGAAATTATGGTAACCTTACTCTTTGCTTTCAGCCTGTTCAGATGGAAGAGCTTTCCATCTGTTCGATATATGATTTCTACTCCGGTGGGGAGTTTCCCTTCAACAAAGTGTAGGATCATGGCAATGAAAATAATGAATAGAGTTGGGGCAATAGCACAACCCTGTTTAACACCTGAT